TATTGAGATTCCATTAACATTTTTGGTCCCTTCCCTACCCCATTTAAGATTAATTAATAATTAAAGACATGTCAATCTCTTTATAGAAAATCATGGATTAGTCAATGTCTAGTGGCACAAAGCAACACCCAATTTTCTGATATGTGGTACATGATGGTGGAAACAGAATTGAATGGGGCAAAGAGTGGGTGAGGCAGTGACAAAAACGTCATTTTCTATGGTGATTTCTGATATATTTTGCTTGGAATCTAGGTAGCCAAACAGGGGATTAAGACTGGCTGATGGCAGAAAAGTAAAACGTGGGTTAGTCCCGACCACAGAACCTGCTTTCTCTTTATCCTGCTTTATTTTGTTGCCTTTTGATAAAAATTTGTCTTTTACTCCAACCAATAGCTAATGAAAGAAAATCCATTTGCAGGAGTGGTTCTCTTTCGCTCCCATTTTTACCGAAGGACATTTTCACGAAACAAGAAACAAAAGAACTTAGCAAAACCTTACATATTTGTTCCTCAAGCCCAATTTGCAAGCAAGATTTTATTTTGTGCTTTTTGGGTTATGAAAAACATAAGAAATTCCAACATTTTTCTTTAGAATTCTGTTGCATTTCCTTATCATTTATTTATTTATGATTGATTGATTTCTTGTCCACACCCCATCTTTACCCCCTCGTTTACATGTGGGATTATCTTTCTCTTTCAATTATACGACTTGATATAATGAGGAGAAAACAAATTCATATGGTGACTTCTAACAATGAAAAATAGGTTTACGGCATTTCCTTTAGAAACATGGAAGAAAAGAACTATTCATTTGGATTTGTTAAAAGAAAAATTAAATTCAGCATGTTTTTGTATTTTAAATATTAAAATCATTTGGAAAATTATTTAACTACTCTTAAATAATTTTTTTTTGTATGTTAATAAAGATATTTCAATTTTTTTATTATTTTTTTTAATATTTTAATTGCCAATGCATCTTAATTTTTTTACAATCTTATTTATTAACAATTAAATGTTAGGCAAATTTAAAATTTAATTTTATAGGTAACACTACAGAAAATTTAATTACTCTAAGTACATTATGTTGATGCATTGTCAACGTGGGCAAAATAAACATATCCCACTTTTTTTCGGAAAAAAAAAAATTAAAGTTTAGACTTAATAGTGAACGTGTTAGGTTCTTAATTTTTTATTATTAAAAACGTTTTTTTTTTTGGTGATATACTGATATGTACTATATTTGAAGGAAAAGAGATTTTTTTTTTTTTTATCATGGGAAATATGGAAAGGTAGAATTT